GATATTCTTATTCCACAGTCTCACACTCTTTCTCATGAAAGCACGCAGCAAACCGTCAGCGATAGTTGTAGAAGAAATCACATGCTACAAAATAAGATGACAAGCTAGTAAATGAAGAGACATCCATGGACTACCGTTGACAGCGTTAGTTGCCACTGAATGTAAGTCAAACATTGAGCGAGTTGATAATTTTCCCTTGAGATGAGAAATAGAACTAAGGTGTTTTTGAAAGATAGGTTAATCGAACCGACGTTCCTACGGAAGTCGATTCTAGGGGGAAGCTAATGTAACAGCATAGGTTGGTTGGTTAAGAGTTGACCCCAAACAACCAAGCATATGTCAAAACAGTATTGTTCAAGTATTCATTCACTTCCTCATTTTGTATAAGCGTTATATTCCTTATTATCTTATATTGAATGTTGAAAGCTTTTGTTTGTCTGACCATATAATCCCACGCTCCACTGTGACTGCGCTAAGATCGAAATAAAGACGTACCCAATTATTGTCTGACTTCTTCTATCAATAACACGAGGGTTACCTAGAGGCACGAAACTGTCTCACCCATTATTATTTCACTATCGTACACGATTTTTTTCCGTTATCGTTCTCCTTTTTCTTATGCGCACTTTTCATTCCCTATCTCTTCACATTCTCATTGTTATTGTGTGATGCATGTATATTTGGTGCCTATTTATACCAATGTTTACGTGTCCAAATAAATAATAAATTAATAAATAAGATTTATGATGCAATCTTTTTAATCCCTCTATAGATATGTATTTACCACAAAAGTATAAATACGAATGTACAATTCGAATAAATGATTTCGGCGAAAAGAAAATTATCTTCGCTGAATTCTCTTTACTTTTAAATGATTAACACTAAGTATTTGGATAATTATGGTCTACTATGATATTAGTACTGCTCTAATCAAAGACCTCATCCTAAAATCGTAGATTTGTCATGATATAACTGTCTAGTCTATAAGATCTTACGTGGAAGTTACATCATCAACTACGCCAACTCATTGCATCGTAACAATTACCAATACATAGTAGAGAACAAGCTTAGGCTAGAGACAAAACAATATATTCAATATAAAAAAGGATATAAAAAACATTCAACAAAAACCACGCATCAAAGGCCGAGCCATGTCATTCGATCAACTCCCATTAATTCAATTCATTCTTCCCACCCTCTTCATCGTCGGGTTTTTCTCCGTGTTAAATGTTGAATGTCTATTACCCACATTGTCCCGTATTTGAGCCCAATGCCACTACAGATTTGTCAATCAGCTGTTTCTTCTTGAAAATGTAGACCTCGAACGCGCTTTTCGAACGGGAAGTTTAGTCTTAACGTGGTTTGCATTTGTCAAACTTTTGCTGTGTTCTTACACAACGAAAGTACCATTTCTAACCAAAAGAATCTATCCTGAGCTAAACGTTCGGCAGATTAAATTTTTTTTTAATTTCACCCAATTTAATAGTTAACTGTGGTTTTGCCTCAGCTTACTATTCCGTTTTATTTTTACAGTTTTTCACGTGAAGACTAGTTTAGTTTATCTCGTCCGTTTTATCCATTTTTGTCCGTTTTCAGTGTATTTTTTAGTGTAAATTTTACGGTCTTAGGCTTTTGCTAGCATTTACAACACAGTAACGTCAATAAAGTCATGAAACATTCATGCAAACGACCTGGATGCCGTTTCGCTTTTACATCTGGCATACAGTGAGGCAACTGCAAAGGTTGGTTCCACGAAGCGTGCACAGATCTCACAGCAACTGCTTACAACAGACTCAGCAAGTCGGATCATAAGTGTGAATGTTTTACGTGCAGCGCGGATCCTGCAGTCTTGCTGAGTAATATTATTGTCCTACTGACAGGTAGGCAGAGCAAGTTGTCTGCAAACTTGGGAAACGACACTCAAAAAGACGGGTGGGCAAACAAGAAAGTGAATTGAAAACGAGAACAGGGATGTCGACAGGTCTACCAACGAGGGAGCATGCATCAGCATTAATGATGACACGCTGAAACTCAGCACCATGATTAAGACGACGGTACTCGACTTCCTCAGCAAACTCGGGTTTCATAGCTCAAGGTCCTTGAAGCGACAGTGGTTCCCAAAAACTCTGTATGTGATTGGACCTATGTCAAAAGCGCGTCACAGTCTAAGTTGAACATCCCAGTTGTCAAACGGAAGTCAACTTGTGATTTGGTCGCACAGTCTATCCCCAAGATAGTCCGTCCGGTCATCAAAGAGTCAAGGATTCATAAACGTGCTTTGAACCCTAAACAACAAGGTGCTAAACATGAATGCACTGGAAAACCTGTGACGACAATAACGGTTCGTGATGACTCTCTCTTATTCATGAACTTCAAAGACAACCCTGAACTTCCTCTCAGTTTGCAGGACAAAAATGATAGGATGCTCTAGGGAAAATTGAACATACATCCTGATTCCACCGGTCTTTAATCTCCCCAGAGTCAACTTCGCGGAACATACGCTTACTGGAGGCGATAACTCAACTGAAACTCGGTTCTTCAACCTCATCGATGACTTGGGATTGTATAAAAATGTGAGGTCAACAACTCGTTGGAGAAACAGTTAGACACCATCGCGTTTAAACTGTGTATCCACAAACGAAGAATTTTTAGTTGACAAACTCTCAATCCTGGCTCCCCTGGGAAAAAGCGATCATGCCGTCATAGCCTTCAGTTTTGTCAGCAAAACTAAGCTAAGATACGCCACTAATGACTTGCGTTGAAATTTTAAACGGTTAAATGTGCCAGCTCTACACCACTATGTACAACAGGTGGTTTGGGATGTTCACCTATAACTCGATGTGGACGGTCATTGGGACTTTTTACTGCACACACTCTAACGTGGTGCAAATCATTCAGTTCCTCAAACGGTTCCCAAAAGCTGCAAGCCACCTCCAATAATCAAGAACTGTATCCTTCGCCTGCTAAGCCACAAAAGGCACTGTTGGGCGGAATACAAGCGAACTGACAACGACGGAGCGTACAGGCAATATAAACATATCAGGAACATATGCACGAAGGCTATAAGAGAAGATAAGCTCCAGTACCGGACAAACCTTATGGACAAATTTTCTCTAATCCTAAAGGCTTATTCCGTCATGCAGCCTCTCTTTGTCACGACAAAACTGGAGTTTCTCAACTGTTATGTTTTAATGGCCCGAACAACAACGATGGCGACGCCGCTAAGCTTCTGCCTGAACAGAACTCCCAGACATTTCAACCGACTAACATTAACTTTACAGATGACAGTTTCGTTTGCAATTGCACTGGACCTTCTGAAGTGAACCTAGGCGCTGACTTGGTGTTCCGGAAACTGCAGCACTTAAGACTAGATACTTCCCCTGGCCCGGATATGGTTTATTCTGCCATACAGAGGGAAGCAACGCTACTTAGCGTGATGTTCTCACACTCGCTAAGCTGAGGCGAACTACCGGAAAATTGGAAGTTGGCTCACATCACACCAATTTTCAAAAGTGGTCGACGCAATGAACCTTCAAGTTATCGGCCGGTGGCTCTTCTGTCATTACCTTCAAAACTCACGGAGTCCCTGATATGCGACGGTTTAAACGACCATCTACTGTCCTTAAATTTCTTCTCACACCAACAGCATGGTTTCAGGAAGGGTTACTCTTGTATAACCAACCTGCTGACTGCGGTGGACAGATGGACAAGCATCCTCGATCGCAAGGGAAAGGTTGATATCATTTACCTTGATTTCTCAAAAGCTTTTGATAAAGTTAACCACTTGTGTCTTATCAGAAAGCTGAAACGACTAGGTATCAAACCACCGCTAATCGATTGGCTCACTTCATACCTAAAAAATCGACATTTCAAGGTTAGGGTTAATTTCACTTTATCTCAGGCTATGGAATGTCCTAGTAGGGTCCCCCAGGGCTCAGTACTAGGGCCTCTTCTCTTCTTGATCTACATAAATGATCTTCCTCAACAAGTAACGTCAGACTTATTACTTTTTGCCGACGACGTGAATGTTTGGAGAGAGATACGCAACCAGGACGATATACAGGCACTTCAGGAGGATCTGACTCCACTTCAAGGTTGGACAGACGATAACGGACTTACCTTTAACACTTCAAAGTGTAAAGTAGTCCAACTGCGACATGTCGCAAACTACAGTTGCAACTTAGGAAATTACTCTCTAGTAGTAACCTGAGTCGAAAAAGTTTTACGAGTCCTGATGCCCCACGATTTAAAGTCTTACGCTAATTGTGACAAAAATGCCTTCCGAGCAAACCTTGCATTGGTAACATTGAAGCGCATTTTTGGCTAGTTGGACGGAAGAACTTTCCATACAATCTTCAATAGTTTTATCCGTCCCCATTTAGAGTACGGAAACATAGTACTCCCCCCTCATTCCAAAAGGACAAGGTCACTTTGGAGCGTATCCAACGGCGAGCCACGAAATCAGTTCGAGGACTCAAATCTAAGCCTTACGAAGAACGCCTCCATTCACTAAACCTTTACCCATTAGAGTATAGGCGTCTTAGAGGTGATTTATTAGTGGCTTATAGTATTCTTAACACTTCTGGACATCCCCTTAAACACCTACTTAAGCTTAGTTCGAATAATAACCTAAGGGGTAACACCCAGAAACTGGAAACTCAACATAGCAAGACGGAATGTAGACACAACTTCTACTCCTTAAGAGTTGTCAAAAGCTGGAATTCGCTGCGGCCGAGCTAGTCCAAGCGACTTTTCAGGAGTCCTTCAAGAGGCAACTTGACCTATTCTTAAGGACCAAGGATAGTATCACACTATGATTTACCAATTTCTTTTCCTCTTTTATTGTTAACATACCTAGGTTCCTGCCTGGAGGATTTGGTGATCTCCTGCTACTAGACACGGAAGCCTGTTAAGCGAAAGCTTCTTCTATTCCGTCCAAAACCATTTGAACCATCTGAACCATTTACACAAATGACCTTTCCGCATATATTAAGACTACGTGAGGGAAGGCGGCTGTTTCAGATATAAGCGTCACATTAGAAATATGGTGTTAGACTATGATTCAGATTCATCTGACGGCAGTGCTCCGAATCGTAAGGTGTATTAATTTTCACGAGTAAAACAACAAATAGGAGAAGAAAGGGATGAATCTTCAGATCTCAACTCGTCCAGTGATGATGAGGAACGAAATCGTGTAACACAGAGGAATATTTTTGGAGATGATACTGGTTAGATAATGTCGTTACATGTCTTCATTTAATTGTAAAGATAGTGATAATGAAATTCAGCCAAAGCATAAACATTCAAAGTTTAAAGAAGTGAGATTCATAATGTGTATATCAATCTATCCATTGTAGCTAATAATTTTTTCCATATTGATGAATTAATATTTAAAGAGACGTCAAGAAATTTGACTAAGCATTTGTGATGGAATTTTTAGCAATCGATCTATGCTTAGCTTTTGGCTCTGTCGAAAGATACACTACTGTCATAATCTTTTCGCTAATTTTGTTTCTACGAAACATTCACACTAATTTCAACGTCTTAATACACATCTAGGACATTCTAATTCCTGTAAACGTACATTTAAAATCTTCCAGTATTAGTTCATTCGTATTGATTGTATCAATCTTCCCAGTGATGTTGGGAAGTACGATTGATCAGTATCTAGTCAGTTAGAAGATTAAAAAATGAACGAAAATGAAGTTGTGGAATCAGCGATCTGAACAAATATGCCTAATACGGGTCGAGAAGGATCATTTGATTACACTCTCTGCACCCAGTGTAATAATCCTTCTTAGCGACGAAATGATTAGCATTCGGTGTTTATTGGAATCTGTTTATAGATCAATTTAAATTACGAGGTCAGTAATACAAATAAATGCATATAACATAGAGTAAGAAAAGTGGATCCAATGTTTACTCAAAGGTTGCGAAATAAATCATTTAATATGGATTAAGTAGGAAATGGTAAATTAGGTCGGGTGGTAATTAAATTCCTCGCTTGTTCACAAGATTAATAATAATAAAAATAATGAAAGATGTGTAAATGGTAGTAGTAGTCATAAATGAATTAGGTAGACACAAGTTATAAAACTATAGAGGAGGAAGTTCCCCTTCATTAGTCCACCCGAGAATAATACCTCCTTCAGGAATTACTTTTAAAAGGTGTACAATTTTAAAAACCATCTATTGACCACCTAAACTGTATTACGAATCAATCAAACTACAAACAGGCTTACTACGTTTTGTGGATTACGCTTGTAACCAAAACATTTTTAATTGACATTCACACTGATTTCAACATCTTAAGGCACACTTAGGACGTTATAATTCCTCTAAACGTGCATTTAAACTCCTCGAGTTCATCAGATTTAAAACAGTCAAGGAAGGTAAATATACTGATATGAATACAAAAAAATATACCGAGTTTTAGAAGTCAGGTGTTTCTGTATTCATTCGAGTCAGGGAGCAGAACATTGAAATCTGTCAGCCACAGGCACATAAATTTAATCACACCAATAAACAGTTAATACATTCCCACGACTATGTCTTATTCATTAAGTTATAACAAAAGTACGTAATTGAGTAATTAAATTCATGAGAACTACTGACATTGGATTAATGTGGCACAGCAGTTCAAATGCATGTTTGATTTAATTATCGGGGTAATGTCAACAATCCGTCACCATAATACTATGAAATATCTTCACTTATTTCTAAACATTTGTCAAATTTTCTAAAAGCTAAACCATCACACAGCGATGCAGGCGAAACCTGCAATGACTATACCCTTATTTGTAGTTTGGATAAAGCTTTTTCACTGAATGATCAATATTCTATAGACCCGAAGACGCTGCAAAATGGCTTGCATTTGTTGAGCGTACTATGAAGTAATTTAATCAGCGATTGAGTAATCATCTCTCTGTATGTAAGCAAAGATGGATAGTGGCTAGCAGTGGAACTAAGGACGTGCATTTCACTCTATTTGGGATTCATCAACTGGATATACCTGCATCTGAGAGTTGATGTTCACTCATTGGGATACACATATGCCATGGGGCATCGATCAATTGCACTTCTTAACATCAGGGGGAGAAATTAAAATAATCAGTACAAATGAGCTTCTCTTCGTGGTTAGGAAAGGCTCAGACAAAGACAATACACAACTCTATCTCGGCGCACCTGGTTGACAGTGGTTATGCGATAGATAAAACGAAATTATTTGCAACATGATCGATAGCATTCGATCTGCACTAATAAGGACTAGACAAGCAAGACATTGATCACCACCCAGTGATCAATCAATTGTAATTACATCTCAGTCCTACAGGAGGTTAGTCACGGCTCGGATAGCTCAGTGGTAACGTCTCTGACTGTGAAGCTGGGTGACACGAGATCGAATCCGCCAGGGAGCACCAGTTCCCTCAAGATTACAGGTACACCTTGCTGACGGGTGCCAAGTAGCACGAAACCCGGGTCCAGGGTTTCCTGTTGACTACCTCCAACCACCATCTACTATTGATACATTTATATGTATTATTTACTTTACACATATCGTTGACAACCATTATCATCTCAATATACCTATTTTACTAACTACAATTATATTCATTCACTGGGTAAAACACAATATCATCTAACTAGTACATTTTTACCCACTAAAATGTCTATCTGTAAAGATACTTTCTGAGATAACTCAGTATATTGAAATAAAATCTAAGATACAATATGATAACATCCATTATCTATCCACTATTCAAAGATAAGTAATATTGAAATAACGGAGAACATTTGCAGTTCCGATCAATCCATTTAGTAGTGTTATGTACTTTCATCAAATGGATGATTTAATTGCAAAGTATTTATTATTGATTGAAAATCCCTATCAGAATATTCTACATGACTCAGTCAACGACGACAATAAAAAAAAATCCTTAATCAAACCATCCAGTTCAGAGAAAATAACACCATTGTAAATAATGGTGTTCAAAGTGAATTAGCTATGTAATAACATTTTACTATGTATTAACGTCGTTTCATCATTGATCAAAACAAATCCAAGATTTATTTCTTACAAAAACTGATATCATTAGTTCAATTTATGTATCCCATAATTTATATGATTAATAATAAAAATTGGCGAAAAAAAACAACTGAACAAACATTTTTCAAAAGTTCTTTTAATTAATTAATTGAATCACATCATAAATTATTAATTAATAGTAACTTCCCATTAAACAACCAACTTATCAAGGAAGTAGTAACTAGAAAAATAGAAAAAAACTTTTTCACTAATATTAGTTGATAAAAACAAAATTACAAGGAAATAATAATGTTTTATGTTACAATTCAAAGGGATGTTGCTACAAATCTGTTGTTTTTTTTTACTATTCCATGTCTCTGTTTATGTGTATGCATGTGAGTAAACTGTGTACAGTGTTAACTGGTGAACAGGGTACCATGTCGACAGACGTTGAACGTAATAAAGATGGTGAGAGATTAAGGGAACTTTCATTTTTAAACAGAACATCAACTAAATAAACCATCACCACTTGTACTAATACGAACATTTATCTAATTAATACGAGATCAGTTAATAATAATAGTAATGATAACGAGGGAGAAAAGTAACTGTTTTTCTATTCTGTGTATGTGCATATGTGTTTACAAGCGGATGTGTTAGACGAAAAAAAACCAGAAAAAAAACAATAGAAATCTAGTAAGTAAATGAAGAAGTGAGCAGAAAAAAATCAATCAGTTCGCTCAAAATGTATGGGGATACAAACAAGAAGTTACATTATTGATTTGTGAGATTCAGTTTATTCTGTTCGTTCTTTTTACTTATAAAAACAGATTTTTTTAATCATAAAATATTTATTAATAATAATAATAATATAATAAACTAAATTCATACTACAAATGTAAATATATACATGAGTAAAGCAGAGATAGCACCAGCAGCGGGTAAGGTTACCAACCATGCAGCTAGAATATTACGAAATATACCCCAATTAACATTGTCTCTAGAACGTGCACGTCCAACAAATACGACTGAACCAACTTTACAATGTGTAGTTGATATTGGTAGACCAATTTTACTAGCAATTAATACAGTCAGGGCTGAACCAATTTCAATACAAACACCACTGATAACAAAATAAAAGAATAATGATACTAATGTTATTAATAATAAAAATAAATAATTCAGTGAAAATGTATAGTAAAAAATTGGTGAATTTTGTTGAACTTCCATTTTCATACACTTACGCCCGATCTACATATAGTGTATATAAACGAAACCAATCCAACTATTTCTACAAACGCCGTACCCGACCGAAGCTGCTACCTTGACGTGGTGGTCGGGCTTGCCTATCGTGATGACCCAACCGAGCTATATTGGCTGGAACATATGTTCCTGTAGGTTCTACCATGCCAGGCAGGTCGATTGGTGAACGGTAAGACTAAAAGCAGCAACTCAAAGTCTGAGGGCGAAGTCGTACTGCTGACTGTACAGAGGTGTGACAGTAGTAAGGTGTTTCCCTCGGACAATCAGCATGACAGCGATGCTGCCTTCCCACAAGGAGGAGTGGGGTTAGAAAAGGTCGACCCTAAAAATGTCACACCTCACCTTACCTCACGGATTTCCGTCTCCGGCGGCAAGGCTCTTTGAAGAACGGAGCTAACACATTAAAAACCTGTCACAAAAATGCCGTGCGCGACCGGCCTTAAACAGTTGTCCCTTGGGCTCTGCGGTCACGCTCCCAGGTCGTCAAGACCAACACTAATCCAATTTCCTTTTCAGGTTCCTCAAGAAATACCCTTCCACGGTGTGGGCAGCCGGGAAGTGATATCAGCCCTCATACCCGCAACAGCACACTGACTGACTGACTGACTGACAAACGCCGTACCAATAATAGTTGTGTTCAATAATGACAAACTTCCAGAAGTTCCAATGAGAAGGCGTGACCAGCCAAATGTGAGACAGTTATCCATCACAGGAAAGGGATTGTGGTTGCACAATATCGCTAATTGATTGCAGTTGGTGTAAACCATTAGATGCAAGCTCAGTGGTCTGAAGGTTAAGAGCTCATCTCTAGAAATGAAGTTCTTAAACTTGATCCTCAGTGGAGTTAAGGTTGCTCACTAACGAGTGGTCCCATACTGGTTGCTTAAGTAAAATCAAACCATGATGTAAGCTATGAACATCTAACGATCCCCATAAATTCCTTCATCAAAAATAAAGAACAGAAGATAAGGGGCACAACTGTCTCCACTTCTTGATCGCTGAATATTAACTAAGTGACTAGCTGAAAAGTATTGTAAGTTATTGAGTATTGAATACCAAGAAACTATAAAAAGAACTACTAAACACTCGTTATAATTTCACTTTCTTTGCATCCCATCAGATGACTCTCACAGTGGACACAAAGCACACTTTTAAAAAGGTGACAATAAAAAGCCACTTTAATGTGCACTGTCAGAATCAACTAAGATGTCAATTAATGAAGAAAAGTTCTTGTTTGGTAAGAATTTACATTGACTACATCCCACCACCACAGTGATCCAACATTCTTCTTTCGTTTTTTTACTTACTGTTGTTCCATCAGAGAATGAATCTTATGACCTAAAATAATGTGTCAGTTGTGAAAAACGATTTCATAGATCAAGTAAATAAAAAACATTCGAATATACATGAAAAATGATATATAAATTACAACCAAAACTATTTAAATTCATTGAAAGATGGTATTAAACACATACAATATCTACAATAAACATATTTCTGTGCAAAAAGATCGCCAACTTACCTGGAAGGTGATATTTTCGTCAGATCTTCACCTAATGTTTGAATAACACGTCTACCCCATATCCAAAGACCAACTGATATACCAACACCACCATAAACCAAAATCCAAACATCTGTAGTTTTCGATGAATCAACTGATTGTGTTGTGGCAATAAGCCATAAACCAATCAACGGCCCGATAGCATTACTGCATAAAAAATAATTCATAAAAAACTTACACGTTAAGTGAATTATTTGAAGATGGACTTCATGTTTTATAACGGGTTAGCAGTGAAACAAGTTTACGACTACTATTGTTTTGAATGAATAGTCTGAAAATGATTATCTTTTCAAATGAAAACTTTCTATGATTCGAATGTTCACCACAGTTTCTTTAAATAACCGAATGGGTGACAACATATAAACATAATGTTAGTTTAGCCTAAAGCGGATTTATACTTTGATATACCAGCGAATTCATAAAAGATCCGTAATTCAAATCTAACGTACAAGTACCTCATTTCATTTAGGAAAGCTTTAGACCCTTACGTATTCCACGGTTTAATTCTACGAAGCATAGTTCATATTGAATATGCTTTCTCGTTTAAAATGTGATATTACAAATGGTGTATGAAAAAGAAGGACATTCATACACGTCATTCATTTTATGTAAAAAGATGTGCAAACATACAGGATTACTGTGATCTCCTAAAGAATAAAAAAATTACAGTTCTGATCTAACGTGAACAGAAAAACAACGAAGCCATGACAGACAACGGAAGCTATTTATGGAGACGTTATTTCATTTAATTCAAACTTTGTAAAATACTAACATTTAGTTTTGTCTTTAGCTTACTCTATGAACCACGAGCTTTCGTTTGATGTGTGACTCACCACCACACACTTTTTCACTGATTTGCATTGGGAGGTGGCGATCGGAAATAAATCGAGTAGTGATCCTGAAGGGGCTTTGTTCTCTGAGCTGGACGAAGTTATATGACAGGAAGAAAAGTCGAAATCCCATTGATTTACTCATTATGAGTTTTGTTCAACGTTACTTCCATTTGGATTCAATGTTATGATTATTCAGGGTAGTATTTGTTTTGTTTTCTCGTATGATATTTTATTGTGTATAATATACGATATTCTTGTATTCAATTGACATGAACTATGCTCAATATCTGATTTGTTATAAATGAGTATTTATATTTATATATGCGTTCATCCTAATTATTATTCAAAGTGTGTGTAAATTTATATATAAATGAGTGTATTTTCGACTAGGGTCGTCGTCGTGTTTTTGAGGTTAATAAATCATCATTTATACCAGCCTTGTGTTTTGCATTCGCGTCGTGGGAATTGCAGAGGTCTCTCATTGAGAAAAATCAACCTTTCTAAACTAGTCTCATGATAGATATTATCTTTCTAATATCTACAAAGTTTCTAGAAGTTATATTTTATGGGGATTCAACTCATTTTATATCATTTATAACTAATCTTAAGTTCTGATTACTGAATATACTTTAATGGTAGTAATATAAGTGAATTTTACTTATATACACAGCTTGATTTATTGAAAAAAATATGTTAAATATTCATACCTTACATCATTACCACCATGAGCAAATGATCCAAAAACAGCTGTTAAAATTTGTAAAGAAGAGAAAACTTGAGCTTCAGCAGGACGATCTTTGACTGAATCGACAGGATCTGGTTCCTGTATCCAGAAGAATTAGTAATAATTAAGTGCAGATTATATGTAGCAAAAATATTAACAATGCATTTCGTGTGTTATATGTCACAATATATAGGCTTAAAATTGGTCTAATCATTCAGTTGAAACAAATGATATCATGCAAAATACTTATTTGTAGAATAGTTCAGACCACTTCTTTTGAGCATCGTTTCATTTACTCCCACACAAAATAGACCTAAAACATAACGCTTCAATTGCACTGTGAATACAAGGTATCTAGGGTAATATCCACTCTCTTTTCATCGCTAGTTTGGAAAACAAACGATTCACAAATTCAACAGAAATAATTAATACGATCCCTGAAGTTAGAAATTTCTAGACTTTCATTCATCCCAAATACCGAAAAATTACCATCATATTGAAACATAAGTGAACAAAGAATACACAAGTTAATAGTCCAAAAGGTGGCAAGGTTTGGGAAAAAATACATCGTTTAAAAATTATAGCATGTGAATTTAGGATTATTTGCAATAGAGAATAAATAGTATTTGAACAACGAGGAAGATATGTAATAAAAAACGAATCTAATAATCACAAGTTACCTTGCAGCACATCATGTATCTTTCACTGTATGATGGAGTGACCCATATAAACTTGAGTCACAAACATAATCAAACTTGCAGTTATATCATGAATTAGTACGATAGACTTCTATAAACTCTTGGGTGACCATAAACTGACCTGTGCATATTTAAATTTAACGTTATTGATCATAGTGTATTCATTTGTCGTTTTTGTATATATGCACTTGTTAGTTATTTACGGTTAACTTCAAACAGTTTTATGTGCACATGCCATATGCATGTTTGTTGTCTCTGCTTTAATTGGTTATCTGTAATTCATGTATTATTCACTCTATATAAGGACGAAGTCATTCATTGTTCACCGAATAAACGTTTTCAGCTTCTCCTGTCTGAATTTTCATAACTATGTAGTATTAAAGCGTTTAGTCGACAGAGTATATATGAAGTCAAGTAGGATATACATGTCACCAGGATCAGTATCGTTCAATCATAATGCAGTCATTTACGGACACTGGAATACAACCTCGTAGGACTCTGTGAAATGATCGAAACCACTAACTGGATAAACCACCGAATTTTAATGATGTAATGTACATACATTTCTATTGTATAATTGTTAAGTAACTAAACTACGCATATTCACGTTCCTCTTATTAAAAACTTTATGTTGACCAATAGACTATTATTATGCGATTTACCGTTCTTGAGTTATACCCAGTCTATTAGTTAAGGTCTCTGACATTCACAGTCACATTTGGCTGGATCTTGTACAAAGGTTATTTTCTATTTCACGGAGTGATGTGGTCTGTTTGGTCTGCATATAAACAGAGTATGCTTGAAATACATGATTCATATCATATCGCGGAGGCTGAGATTGGTGTTATGAACTCAACAGGCAGGGCTAGATTGAGAGGAGGACCGATAAGAACTCTAGACTTCTCATACGGGTTTATGCGTCATTGGTCAGGTCGATAAATCACTGTTCTCTAACTCGCAGTGTCATCTTCATGTCGGTTATAACTTATTGGGTTGATATACAGTAACCATTCAACACTATCTAGTAATTCAATTAAGGTATATGTCTATCCCAAAAGATACAGTAGGAAAGGGAGATAAATACTAAATCACAATACTCACTTCACCAATTGTAGACAGGTTAGGAGGAAACGATACATTCATTTTACCATTAGTTAAATTATGACTACCATCCGTGATGGCATTTTGATCATTTGGTGAATAATCCAAAACCCTATTTAACTGATTTCTTTTATGAACTGTTTCATCTGGGTTACTTGGTTTCACTTCGAAATCTATGGAACATGTGGAAAAAATGTGAAAAGAAGGGAGCAGATATAAAAATCTCATACAAATAAGAATAAACTTTAACTGAAAACCATGCGACATGACTAAGTTTGGGAAGATTTAGGTTTGCAAAAGCATGTAAATTCATGTCAATCATTGCAACGTACGACCAAAACAAATAGCATTAAAAAACGGGTTGTTTACATTTATATGCATTGATCCATTAACGTTTACTAGGTTCAATGTAATAATAATAATAATAATAATAATAATAATAATAATAATAATAATAATAATAATAATAATAATAATAATATAAAGATTTCACTTTGGATATAATTATGGAAAAAATTTATTATTTTATTCACATTATGAAATTATCTTGATTTCTTGAGAAGCCAACTGTGTATCAGTATATAAATCAGGCCGAATAAAACTAAGCAACATTTAATTTCACTAAAATATATGTTCTATAAAATAAGTGATAAACTGATAACGATTTCACATGAGGTCACTTCACTTTACTCTAAATGTAATGAAGCCACTTATCATACATAGTTTAACCGTTTCTATGTAATCACTCCTAACAACATTCTCTAGAGAATAAACATTTTCTTTATTATATTCCTATTACTTATAAGTAAATTAACGAGTTAAATCATTAAGAGTACACATTAAAGTTAATAATTAATTTTAATGTATCATTATTCTAATAAACAGTGCCCACTTCTATACAATTTCAGAAAAGTTAATAATAATAATAATAATAACCGGTGTTACAAGAAATAATGTGAAAAAACATTTTGACAGAAATATACACAATAAAATTGACGTATTCACAAAGTGTTCCACTCAAGAGCAAGTGTTCTAAATTATGTCTACATTTTTGTAGAAACATTACTTCTGTTTCAATATACGGTCTTTATACCATCGAACAGATTTCTTTACCGATAAAGTGAACAGTGTGTAACTAATTCTTTTTTACTAACAACTGACATTTAAATTTTATACCGATTACGCAACACTTAGAGAAACAGTACATAGGGCTTATTTTCTTTTAATGATGTTGAAACACTTTTACTTCGACGTTTGAATTTTATAGAACTTGATCTCATTCAGCTTCAGTGATCGCTTTTTCTTAAAATTTACAATTTACACATATGAGAAAACGTAGTTTACACTTACAATGAAAATGTCACTGTTCTTAAACGAATTTAATTTACAGATTAATACTTCATTTTCTTTCATCCTGTAATTGTGACAAAGTAGACTGCAGCTTATTTATATCAGATATGGTCTAATCGACCAGCCACTATCAGCATACGTAGACGATTCACGCTTGTACTGAAACTGTGAATCGAAGTTGAGAGTTTTCGATATACACTTAGCAAAAAGGAATGACGATATTTAGAAAGCATTCAAATATGGATATATAAGTCTGTAAGTGAGCATAGTCGTGGAGCCCCATACTACGACTAAACAAACGCTCAGTACCCCCCCCCCCGTGGTTGCTAATGATTTACCGACTGAGGTCAAACTGTGACGAATGCCACCTTCACATTACACCAATCTCCATAAAACTCACTCAGTAATACTTTCGTTTCCGTTGATATTACAATTATGATCATTTAGGCGATCTTTAGAAAGTTACTTATTATTCCATACACTCCAAAACATATATTTTCAATTATTGAGTGATTCCCACTAACCCAATTGTTCAAACTTATGTGAATTCTTTTAGGTTTCGTAAAACCTTCTTTCTTCGTATTTTTCTATACTGATCCTCAGGTGGGCTTTCCAACATGTATCTATAGAAAACGCAAGTGAGGCTTTATTTTACAAAACAAAACTTACGACTTGAAACTTTATTTTGATTTTCTACTCCCTGCAATACACCATTATTTTCAGTAGTAAATCGTCCAAGTTTGTCTTTGTCATCTGTATTTCCTCTGGCAACATTGTTTCGAAATCCAATCACAGCCTCTCCCTCTGCATGAGGTACATACGTATCCATATCAATCGATTCATGATTACTGCTTGAAAGTTTGGGAGATTTATTATCCTCAACAGATTGATACTTATCGTCTACAGCGACAGACAATTTCTTTTTGCTCTTACGGGAAAAATAGCCTTTCAAAATATGTCGACTCGATTCTCCAGCTATAAAAATGCATGAACACTGAATTAGCCAAATGTTTTATTCAATTTAAAAATTACATACAATCTGTAAGTTGTTGTAAGCGAATCTATAACGTCAATAAAACACAATTACATTTTACTCCATTTATCGCACATTAAAGAGAAATCGAAACAGGTTTATTACCGTGTATTAGTCAGGTTTCATTTTTGTAAAATTAAAACACAGTTAGCTCTGTAAGAATTTAAAGTCATAACACTGAAAATGAAACATGAAGTCATAAAGCTGTTTAATTCTTTCTTACTTCCGAATTATCTTAATTATTAATTCGAAAAGACCTCTTAAACGTATACACATTTATAGATCGGATTATAAAATAATAAATCTATAAGTGCTATATCCCGATAAGAATAATGAATGGTAACTTTTGGGATCCATTTATGGACCAATACTATGAGTATATTTTTATCGTATAATTGTTATGTAACTAAATTGTTCATATTCATGTCCCTCTTATTATGAGTTTTATTTTGACCTATGAACTATTAATATACGATTTACCATTCTTCAGTTATGCCCAGTCTATCAATTACTATCTCTCTCATTCACAGCCACATTTGGCTAATTCATGTACAAATGTTCTTTCATATTTTATGATACGATGTGGTCTATCTGATTGATATATAAACCCAGTATGCTTGAAATGAATGATTCACATCACAGAGGCTGAGATTGGTGTTCTGGACTCAACTGGCTGGGCTAGGCATAAAGCAGCACCAATCAAGATTCTAGGCTGCTCGCACGTGTTTTGTGTGTCACTGATTCGATCGATAATTCAGCGCTCTCTGATTGGCGGTACCACTGCATTATACAATAAACAGAGCACACAGGTTCACAAGTTATAACAATAAGAAGTTATTCCTTATATGGATTGTTGTCAGCTGAACGCAGGCGAACAGATGATAATATCTGTTATCACCTAAATTCCTGTGATTTTAATCTCAAAGTCAACTACCTTTGACCAACAGTTAAGTTCATTTGATCTTCATTCGCGATAATTACGTTTCTCCTTCGAAACGTATTTAACCATTGGTACAGGATTGTTCTGCAATGTATTTACATTGATTTAACTATTTCCTAGTTTGAATATCGCCTCAATTTCTCAGCTACCATACGACCTACTATCCACATGTAGTATTGCATCTTATATTTCTGTTACTCTTCTCCAGATAAACAATCATTCAGCAAAATGCTTATTCACAATGATCACGTGATTTAGCTGGCCTCAATCAATAGTCAAAGTGATATAATCTAATCCAGAAGGATGGACAGATATATCACTGAACTATTTTAAGTCATCAGATTTATCAGTGAAAATACAAGATACACAAAACCTACAGGAGATTCTCCAGTTTTCTCACTAGGACCCTTCAATCCGTTATCATGAAAAATAAAATCACAGTTTCCGTAATCGACAAGGATAAACGTCAAATGTTCAAAGATAGAGGAATTGAGTGAGAAAAACGATAACCTCACAATATAAGTGGTTACGTGTTACATTTATCTTTTGTCGACAAAATTAACTGGTCAATAAAACAGAAGTTTAATTACTTTTCTGAAAAAAATCCCATTTGATGATATAGATTCATATTTATTCTGGTTATTAGCTTCTCAATGTAGTGCTTAACTTATTCAGTCAGTAGCAGTGGGTATATTCTGTAACTAATCAGTTTTAAACAAAATAGATATTTGGAAAATACTGTTACAACGGGTCAATCGGAAATCCTCAAATCATAAATGGCTGTGACTGGCCAATAAATGCTTCCGTTTTCAAAGGATCACACACAAACCTTTTGGTACACCTCATTACCTATGGAATATACACATAAGTGCAGATGCATATGAGTCGGTTTCACCAAATCAACTTTGCATTCTCACTACCAATATCTTCTCTTGAGTAGTCGGGTTTGCATATACAAAGACTATGGTATCAGTATCGAGTCACGGACACCGCGCATCGCGACAAATAAAATGTGGTATTTGTCACTTAATCCATTCTTTATCTCTTTGACAATGACTTATTTGAAATGTGTGACGTCAGATGAGATTCAGCTTCCTTTGATTCGTCTGCTCAGCCGTTTATGACGTTAGTGATTGTAAAGTCAAATAGATTATAAATAAAATGTCCTGTCTACCTAGTTCAATTGCTCAACAAGAAAAATCAGTGATCATTTTTTACGAGCATCAAATGGCTTAGGCGGTTATCAATAAAAGAAACATCAGGAGAAAACCTTTAGCATAGAGTTATCTCGTTGATACAGGTGCCGAAAACTTAGAGGTTAATAGAGGGGCATTTCTCATAAACTATGGATCTTCACAATCTCACCATAATCAAAGCACACCAATCACATTTGGTGACTGGAATATATAATTGTATAATTCAACACAGTTTACTCTCTGTCCATTTACGGCAAACGAAATCTTACAGTCATAATAGAATACATCAGATTACTAGAGTAACGACTTACTTAAAATATGTCGGCGAACCAAAGGTACCCAAACAAACTTCACAAGTAGAACAGTGATAATACCTAAACCACAACTAATTATAAATATTCCATAAAGAGGTATCCTATCGAATTTCAGCACTACAAAAGAGGAAAAACATAAGCATTTGTATGTGTAGTTCAGATAGGGTTAGGTGATAATCGACTGTTCATACAAATGTAAGTAGATTGGACACTGGAAAAAATACACAAAAATATAAAGTAATTAATTACATCCATAATTATTTCAAATATCAACATATTTTCAATAACAATTTAATTATTACATATGAGAGAAGCAGTTATTGTAGTAATCTAGACGGAAATATACAATTATTATGAAAAACATAGGATAGTTATATTAAATGAAATTGATTGAAATGGTAAAATCATTATACCATGTTTATTGTATACATTCTAATGGACTTCACGCATACCATATGTAACTATGATTCTTATCAACACCATAGTAGTATAAACACTCTTGTCATTTTAAATTTGATATCAATCACAACTTCATACTATCGGTTATTCAAGCTTATATAGAAATAGAACCTGGAATATTTATCAAGTACCAACGTACACATCAATCCACATATTGAGTAGGATTAAACGCATAAACCAAGAATTAAATAAAAAGGAACAATCTAACTGCAATACTTTAAATTTATGTACCAAACCTCTATATGAAATTATACAGGTTATTTAATTCAGTAGAGTAAAATGTTTCTAAATTAATTTTTAAACAATAAGAATATCAGAATCAACCAACTTCCGTCCATGTCTTCTTTCATAAATTATTGTCGCGATGTTAGTACGCTAGTCAATATCACGGGAGATAAACACTTACAACTTACTTGTAATATTCCAATACAGTCGTTGTCAAATTCAATGGGATAAAACAAACACAACTTAGGTAAAATCCGAATTAACAAAAGTAAGGAAGTGAAATACAGTGATAATTTGTTCTGTAAATAGAAACCTTTTTTCAAGAAAAAAATTGACAAACTTAATTTACAAGAACATAACTGATATTATTGTTATTCATCCAAGTATTTGTTTGTGTGGATAAAATTGATATTATGATCAATCGTCTTTGAAATACCATACGATAATATACGACAGTAGACTAAAATCCGATGACGGTTTATTCATGACATTATGGAAGACGTGATGACATTAGATTGTGTTTCCTTTCATAATATTCAATATTTTATACTTAACTATAAATAAGTTATAATTTAATTGTAAAAGTTCCATCATTCGGTTATTTGATTAGAAAGTTTATTACGTATTAAGAAAATCTTCAATTGGTTGTTGAATTATGGCATTATTAGCGATATTTTCATTCCTCAAACCGATTCAACTGATTGATAGCTCACCGCAAGACAAATATCCTTGACCATAACCATGATCTTTTCATCAAAGGCATTGATGAGCGTCTCGTTCCCTTTAGCACTCTATTGCTCAATGTGACCGAATCCTAGTGTTGGTTTTTAAGTCGACAACTCGAACGCAGTACTGCTTGCTTCAAACACAGCACGCTCATGCTCACTTTAATATTTAATTATTTACTAAAGTGAGTTGACAACACTGCGACAAGAATTAAAATACACTAACTCGTATACTCTATTCAGCATACTTACTTTGCTGACTTTCATATAAATATCGAAGAAACATTAAAAATATTTTCGCTTGCATTAGAACCAACACCATAAACTACCAGATAACCTAAAAGTATATTTGTCAGAGCGATTCTAGATTAATTCATTATTCTTACTATACCGGTCGTATAGTTCAATTTCGTGCATCGAAATCGCTACTTATATAAACACTTTAAACCGATCCACTATGCGGAAACTTGATTCGAATGGATAAAAGCATTGGAAAAAAACTAGTTAACTTATTTCAGTCAAGTGCATTTTGTGCTAGATTTAAGTAAAATGTCCAGAAAGCTACCATCAAATAAGTTCTGTAGTGCATTTTAGTAACAATCCACATTATAAAAACATCCGCGAAATACACCAATAATTATTTTTATCACTGACAAATTATCAAACAATTTCAACACTTAAATAAATATCTATTACAACAAACGTAACAACTGTCGTTTTAATGAAAATATCGTTGACAATTTGCAGCTAACGTACGTGAAGGTCCTTCGTAAAATATTGAAAAACTATTGACCAGAACCACTGTGCCGAAAAAACCTGGGATAAGTTTAAGTGCAGGTTCAAGAGGATCTTCCTGTAAAACAAATAAATAGTTACATAGACAATGTTAAACACTCTGTTAGGATGTTCAGAAAAATATAACAATAATTATCGTGTTAAGTCTAATGGTGAGCTTGGACTTTAAATGTACACTCCCTATTGGTCGATATTTATTTCACTTGTTAAATGTTGTTTTCTATTTTATGGTACGATGTGGTCTGCTTGATTAGTATATAAACAGAGTATATTTGAAATATAATGATTCATAACTCAGAGGCTGAGATTTGTGTTCTGGACTCAACTGGCTGGGATAGACAGCGAAGCAGGGCGAATCGGGGCTCTAGGTCGTTCATTGGGTATTTACGTGTCACTGAATCGATCGATATAAACGCTGCTTAGCAAAACCTGCAGTCCACCCGTTACAACACACTCCAAAATACTTCGTTCCACAGAAAACAGGATACATCTATATATATTTACAATATCCTCTCTCTTACAATAGTAAGTTTATAATTCGATAGACAAATAACAAAAACACTTTAATTTAAAAAAACAATTACGGGCATGTTAATAAATCATTTGTAATAAATGAAAACACTTCCAAGTATGTACAGTGATTTAGTAAATAAACATTAAGATTTATTTATTCATTTTAGCGTTCACAATGCACAAAATTACAAATGTATTTACACGTTGTGCTATTATTCATCAGCGGTCATCTAAAATGATTTCACTCGAAATTAAGAATAACCTTTTACGAATGAATAAATAAACACATCTCCAAGATTAAAATTAAACTTTACTGTACATATATATGCACGGTTTCATTAATACAAGGTTACATGAAAGTAACATACACGTTACAGTTTCTACACCTTTGTTCATATTCATGACTGGTTTCACCGACAACGTAACATCTGACATAAATACTTTAATTACACGGTAGGAACGTTTAGAAAGTTACATAAAGTATAACGCAGTCCATTGGATTGTTTATATTTCAGTAATCTATATTATTGAGCAGTCACTATGGTTTTACGATGATAGTTGTCGAACAGGGTGGTCTGAATATTAAAAGGAACTATTCATCAGTTAATAAAACTTATTCAAAAAATAAGAATACTCAGAACTTTCATCTTCATAAGTAAGAATTCTTCTAGTTGTACACGATAGCACTTACGATATGGTGGAGTAGTATTTTTACCATTTAGTGAATTATTCGATACCTGATTTCAACCGAAAAATCTTATTCTATGTTCCGGATTAGAAATCATAGCGCTATTTATAGATCTGATAACCTGCCATAACCATGAAGGTACATAATTAAGAAAATGAGTTATGGGTAAGGCTTATGTATGTACTTTCACATAAGCAGTTAACCTGATTCAAACACGTTGACAAACTAATCATTGACAAATCGGTCCTAACATCACCAATTATATTCATAACCAAAATATCTGGTCAAATATAAACAGTAATTAATACAGTGAGAATAAAAGATCTCGAAATATTCCCTTTGAAATGAATAACTGTATAGTTAACTTTATAAAATATGCACTCATTTGACAGTTTATTAATCGAATAAACTGTTAAAATATTAGCGGTATATTTTTTATGGATTTATTTTGTCTTTCAAATGTTGTTTATGTTCAAATAAAGACAACACATCACGCACTAGACTATCGATTATTGCACAATTGATTTTGAAACATTCGAGTGACATAGAAATACAATAATAATGAGCTTTAGTTCAGTATTAGTCACTCTAAGTTTAATCATGTTCCAAATAGTTTGGAATAACGTGGTTATAATCATTGTGTGCAATTAATTAGCATGTAAGGTGTACAAGCCAGTAGCTCACAATATCAGCACAAATTTCTGTCCATACAGTAAGACAAACCCTTTCATAATTAGAAACCAAGATATTATTTTGAAATTAATTTTATCATTAACTGGTTTCACCTAAAACATTACTGAAAACTGCCACAAAATTATTGGTGACTATTTCGGCCATATTGACAACTTATCAGTAGCACATGCTCACAACTTCACACGTTATCAAGCTACAATCTCGCGGCAACTTAATATCCGAATTTCATAAGCCTAAAAATGCCTAAACTTTATAATCATGGTAAGGGATTTCTGTATCCAATCGGGTAGGCTAAACCAAATTGAAAGATACTTTGTGAGTCGTTATGAAGTCTGGTCGTATTAATTAAGTAGGAAGGACATAAATCCACTTCTGATAACCACAGTGTTGTCTAGAATAGCCATCTCAAAAATAACTCAACACTTAATTAAGGGTAATGAACAGGAAGCCTTAGAAAGTCAGGATGGTTTAAGAACAAGGTGTCGATCCACCGATCAAATCTTCACACTTTTACAGGCATAGGCATACTGATGGACGTCCGATAAATGCAGTATTCCTTGACGCGACGGCAGTATTTGGCATTAGTGATCGATAGGTTTTGTGGAAGTATTTACCATCAAAAGATACGTCAAAAATTGAGGGCTCTTTATCAGGACACTACTAGTCATCTCGGCGCTTAACGACAACTGTCACCAGGTATAGAATGATCAAATGGTACTTGTTAGAAATGTCTGTCATACATAATCTTATTCAACTTCGTCAAAACACTATTTCGAAGATAATGCTTTGTTCGTTTGACTTTTAAGGACCCATCTCCTACCAGGAGATCCACTTACAAACTTAGAATACATAAATTACATAATTCTATTTACAGTTTTCTGAGTGCCTTGAATAATATTCGAATCACTCTTGACAAACGTTTCTGTACCTCTAAATACACACTTTCTGCTTCACAATGGGTCTGTATAATCACTCAAACTGACCACAGAGTGCGTTCACCACCTCAATCCTCATCAGACCAGGTATCTAACTTAATCTTGGAACGAATTTCGAAAGCTCAGTTGTCTTTTGTCGAATCGCATCACCTACAATGTAGGTAAGATGTCCGTATATCAACAAATGGGAGGGTAAAATGCCTGGAAATTCGCTCTGCCTGACTTTGTATCTGGGATAAAAGCCTTCAAAAGAAAACTTTCGAAGATTACCAGTATTTAATCATAGGATTCTTTGAACCATTGCTTTCCTATGTTGGTAAGTTGGTAGGTAAATATACAAAATCGTCCGATAAAAGTGTGAATCTTCAGCGACTGAGGTAGCTCGAACGCATGTTATGCACGTTCAGCCAACTCGAAACTTGGTGTTGGCTGGCGTACGAGTAGGTTCGAAGAAAGCTTTGGGCGACTAAACCAACATCAATCCATAAAGTCATTGACTGTTGGTTTGAGTCATTCAGGTAGGTGCGAACCAACTGGTTGGAACCCACATAATTATTAAAACTAATGATTGAACACCTTAGAAAACAGGGAATATTACAGTAGGTTACAATAGCTCTGGTCAGTCTACTGTTCAAGATCCTCTAGATCTCAATTTTCACAATTTCTCAACATCTTTTAAGATACAAATCTATTATTTATTCTCTAATCATATTCTTTATGACTGATCTATTTTACTGTCGCTGATGCTACTACCTCTAGTTGATTGGTAATACTGTAGTGTAGCAACTTCAGTCAATATATTTAAGTACCACGTCCTACACTGCACATAACTGATCAACTAATTCACAGGGTCAGAATCAATTTTTTCAGCGGTCAATTGTAGACTGCGAGATATTTACCCATTGTGATGAAAACCCTAAATCTAATCCCTAACATTAACCATCAACTGGTAATAATCATTCTAATTCTTCACACTGGTTTACAACTCTCATTTGGTCCTAGTTATTAGGTGGACACACTCAAGGTCACTTCACTGTCGCTCAAAGGTAGTCCATAAATTACGTTACACCGGTAACCCTATTAAACTTTCAACATCCATAAGGTCTTAATGTAATATACTGTAAACAAAATTGATAGATCATCTGCATTTTTGTTTTTAATATCTGCTTGGAGGTTTGTGTTACAGTTCAAACGTTTGAAGATTACATTGTAAAGAAAACTCTAAACAAAATAGAATAAAACTGCTCTATTTTCTTTGAAAAACAAAGTGTAAATGAACTTTACAAAGTCAATTATAGGTTTACCATTTATAAATATATTTAACCATAATTTAGAAAAGAATAAATGAAAACATAAAAAATGAAGAGAATGTGATCATAGTTGGATGAAGGTCTATGTCTAGGTAATGCAACACAGTTAAAGAAAAATATTCACCCCTATTAGAGCTGATTTATATAAAGACTGCACTAATTATTTAGTAAGTATAATATTGACACAATTATTTTACTGTTGATAACGAGTACATTAGTTGGCAAAGATGTTGTAACCTTGATTATCAGAAATGTTGTGTGTTATCAGAGAGATGTATGAGTAACTATTTTTAAAAAAAATATGTACATCAGTCATTATTCAGTATGATAAAATTAACCATGGATAATCCTGAGAACTTCATGAATGTTGTGAACTTCACCGTACTTTATTAACTGTGATCAGTAATTCAGTTCATCGGTTCACATAATTTAATGGATTTATTTAAGAGTAGAAATAAGGAAATTACATATCCGTTAATAAATTAGAATGATTCTAGATAAACGCATGCATATTTAATGATAAAATCAATTCAGTTCACATTTGTTCATAAGGTGATATATAAAGTGATTGACTGATTTCATAATATCACAGAGTCATTTTTAAATGATAAAAATTTACGATTAAAGTTTCTAAATACTTTCTTGTTCAGTGTGTTAATATAGATGAAATTTAATTCGATTACACTTAATTTCAATATGGTTTTTTTTTACATGAATCGTACCATTAAAGTTGAAACTAAACATTTATTAGAGGAGTTACTTCTAAATGAACTAATTTCATGATAAAATAAAGTTTTGTGTCTCAATTAAAGTGAATACATAAAAGTGAATATCTAAAATTACACTTGTTCAGTTTACGGAACGAACATAATTTTAATTCACATGACTATATGATGGATTTATGTTTGTTTCTGAACAA